CCCCAAAACCCCAAAACCCCAAAACCCCAAATATCTTGGTTAGATAATATATTTTACCAAAATGTTACAAGGAAGATATTTACTGAACAAATTCAGAAGTTTGCACCAAGTAGCTAGAAGAGGGGTTACTGCATTCCAGGTCAAGAATGAACTGAGTAAGTTTAGATAGATAACAGTTATAACCTTCTGATCTCTTTGAGCAACAAACTTCTTTAACTGTTTATTATAGCCCAAGATCAGCTAATGCCTGCTCCAGAAGGTATCAAACCTTTGTCTGCAGATGAAGATGATATTAAGAGGATATTCTCTGTTTCAAACTTTCATCTGTCTAGAAGAAGTTTCTTGAAAAATATGTTTGAGATTTGGACATTAGACGAGGAAACCAGCAAGATGCATAAGCATACGCACCATAATAGCTTTATTCAGATGTATTTCCCATTTAGTAAAAACAAAGAGTTGGCTTCAAGTTATGTGTCATGGGATAACCTCAACGTCAGATTCGGCCTGATTCTGAATGAAATGGACACACTAGCCACAGATGTTGGCTACAAGTATGTAGGCTCGTCTAATGCTGGGAAAGATGACTTCAGGATCACAACAGCTGTGATTGATGGCATGAACTTCTTTGAACGTATACAAACAGACCAGGATTTAAAAATGAACGGATATGTGATGTATGTCTCTAAATCTAGCTTCGTAGTTGGAATTGATTTATTTACTAGATCTAAAGATCAAGGATGGAAATATATTGGTAATACTCGAGAATCATGGTTTAGGAAATGCATCATACATTCTTGCAGCTAGGACTAAAGATAATAAACCATATACTGTTCCAGAATTAAGTTTTAAAGGAGAGAAGAATTTGCTGAAATGTAAAGCAAGGTTCGAGTATGGATATCATGTGCACGCTCAAAGTAAGGCAATGCAAGGTGTTTCTGAGTATCATGCCTCACCAACAGATGAGGAAGCGCAAGATATTCATAATTTGCTGTTTACTCTTCATAATCAGCAGCAGTATACTCTTTCTGAGAGGAGAGCTTATGTTCCAATGAGCAAGACTTTAAACACCTCTCAGATGGTAATTCAACCTCAGAAAAATGTAATCCAAGGATTTGCAGCTGCTGGGCATGTTCTAAATGAAGCTTATCAGATAGCTTGGATCACCTCTCATTTATTTTGTGAAAGACAAAAATTTGACTTTGTTGGTCTTGACAGGCTCTACTTCCCAGTTCCGAGCGTTCTTGCTTCAGGCTATGAGTTTAAAGCTAAAGTATCTTACAGCGATAAAGAATATTTCAGAGTCAACACTCATTTGACTAATATAGTTGAGTCTATTCATGAGGAACCTACCATCATAGATTTCACATTTAGATTCCCTGAAGGAATGGGAGAGGAGAAGAAAATCATGCCTGAAAATTATGATGATGCTCTTAAGTACTTGATGAATAAGAGAATGATGCAAAAGTTTTTGGTATAAAACAAATTCAAGATTAAATAGCAACCTCAATATCTGTTTGGAATGTTGGGGTTTTGGGGTTTTGGGGTTTTGGGGTTTTGGGG